GCCGCTGGGCGCCGTGATGCACACCTGTAATCCCAGCACTCTGGGGGGCTGAGGCAGGAGGATTTTAAAGTTCATGACCAACCTGGGCAACTTATTAAGACTGTCTCAAAAAAAAAAAAAAACCCAAAAACAAACCGTAGAGGGCTGAGGATGCAGCTTAGCACTCCCTGGTTCAATCCCCAGTACTGAAAGAGGAGAAGGGAAGGGGAAGGGGAAGAACAGGGACGAATTGCTGCCGTCAGCGTAGCCCATGCTGTGGTTTCTTTCCCGACTGCCTGCCTGCCGTCCCAGCTGTCCGCAGTGGGCTTCAGGGGCCTTGGGTACCCCACGCTTTTCATTTTACATGGTGTCCTAGTTATTTCCACAGTTCTGTGCCAGGCCTCCCACCAAGTTGACCCGGCATTGACCTAGGGGACGGGTTCCTCAGTGGACACAGAAACGCCAGCAGGAGGTGCTGTCCTTTTCTGGTGGGTCCTGTGTACGCCCACACTTTCCATCTGGTCTTCAGGGTCCCTGGTGTGTCCTGTGCCTGCCTCCGAGGTCCGAGGAGCACCGGAGACGCAGGCTGGGCCACGGGTCTTGTAACACTGCTCTGGGGCCCGAGCCCTTCCCTGGGTTGCTATAACTCCTGGCCCTGAGGGGAAAGGGAGAGGATGGATCCCACTGAGCTGCGTGTCCAGGTGGAGGACAGTCACTGTACCTGGCCCGGAGAGAAGGCTGCCCGAAGTAGCAGTAAGCAGAGCACGAGGATGCAGAGACAGGCTCTGGGAGGTTTCCCGGGAGCTGCTGGGTCTGACCACACTTGAAACCAGATCCCACCCATTTCCCAGTCACGTGACAGACACGCTGTTTTGCTGAAACCAGTTAAGAGTTGAGTTTATCACTCCCACCTGAGAAACTCCTGCCTCATTTTCTAGATAAGCTGGGAGCCTTAACTCCTGACTTCTACGCCATGGATCCTTTTGGTAGTTTGAACTCCCCTCAGAAGAAATTTATACTCACTTCCCCGGGGACACTTAGTACTTTCCTTCCCCACAGACCGCAAGTTATACACAAAATAAAACGGATTGGATTACAAGGGAAGTCACTTATCTATCAATATAACAACAGCAAAAATAAATTGGTGCTATAGTCACCCACATGCTTCAATGTGAATGCCCTGAATAACAAAATGGGGGGGTACACACGCTAGGAGGGCCTCCCGAGGTAAATGAAAGCCGTCCTTTTGGATGGGCACACAGTTCTTAGTGGCCAGCTTTCCGCTTGGTTTCTATGCTTGCTGGGATCACATCTGTACATTTCCCTGACTCAGCCCACGAACAAGGGCCCCTGACCTCATTTTGGGGTCCCTGAGACCTCACAGAGCTTGACACCTGTGGGAAGGGCATCTGTGGGAGGGATTTTTGTCAATCCACAGGTGGTGGAGTTGTAGGAGAGAAATAATCACTGGGGGCTGCTTTTAACTCCCCGCTGCCAGCCAAGGCTCTATCCTGGGGAGGACGCCACAAGCCGCACACCACCCGGGCATCCTGACTGCCTGGCTCGTCCCTTCGAGGCCAGAGATGGTGCAGCTCTGGGTGACCAGGGTAGTCTGCTAAAGCTGGGTGTGGTGGCCACCAAGCAGCCACATAAACCTCTAACCCTCCTGCACGGGCTGGGTGTCTGCTGACAGGAAGCCTTTCGGTGAGCCGAGGGCTGCCGCTGTCCACTGTGGGCTGGGTTACAGGCGGGGTGCCTGGCCTCTGGCTGCCTCGGGAAGCTGCGGGGACCCTGGTCACCCAGAGGACGCGGAGCTCTGTCGCTGCAGGGGTGCAGGGGTTCTTGCTCTTTCCAGAAGACAAAGCGAGAGGTGACATCCCCTCCCTTTCCTCTTCTCCTGATCAGAAGGATTGCAATCTGAGGAACCCACGGTCCCGTTTCTGTTCTGACAGCATCTCCCCGGGCCACGGGGCACGAAGGAGTCCGCTTCCCAGCCACCCCACGGTGCCCTCCATGGGGCACGGGGCAGAGGCCACGAGACTGTGCCCTTCCAGCAGCTGGCATCCATCCAGCCCCTCGCTTGTCAATTCATCCGTCCGTTCATTCACCCACTCGTCATCCAGCCATCCGTCTGTCCACCCGTCCATCCACCCCTCCACCCACCCACTCCCCCATCCATTCTTCCATTTAAAAAAAATCCACGAACTCCTTCGTGGGCACTTGCTCCGTTCACAAAATGGATCCCTGGCCTCCAGAAACTGACGTTCTAGGGAAGGGGGACCGGTGCCAGGCAGGGAAGGAGGTCCACACACAACGCAGCGGGCGAGGGCCACATGAGGGAGACAGCTGACCGGACGCGGCTAAACTAGAGGGCGGCTGTGGTGGGGAGGTGAGGGGGAGCGGAGACCTGAGCGCTGAGAAGGACCGGGCCGGGACCCTGCCTGAGGGAGGCTGGGGCAGCAAGCGCAGGCGCGGCCCTTACGGGGTCCCCTCTGTCCGTGCCAGCCACAGGCCCGTGTGTTGCCCTGGGCTCCAGCCTCCCCGAAAGCCCGGGGCCCCTCTTTCGCTCTGTCCCCAAGGGTGACAGGGGTGGGCGGGAGCACAGGGAGGAGCCGGCCCCACTCACCCAGCCAGCGTGGCAGGCGGATGGTTTTGGTGCCCAGGCCGGTGGAGCTGCGGAGGAAGAACCACGTGGCCACCAGCGTGGCGACGACGGACAGGAGGCGGAGCAGACCTGTGGGGTGGGAGGGGACAGTGCTCGTCCCGGTCCACCGAGACCTTAGGAGAGACGTGACAGCTGCTCCGGGAGGTGAGCACCGCCACGGGAGTCGGGCAGCCCAGTCTTCCATGCCATCCCCTCAGAGCCAGAGTACCCGGGCACACACTGAACTTCGCAGTGCATCTCTGGGCACCAGACCTGTCCTGGGCCTCACCTCCCCTGGCCTGTGGCGCTCATGTTGTGCCAGGCGCTGTGTGCAGAGCTGTTACTGCGTGGCCTCAGTTCACCCTCACACTGACCCTATGCGTGTGCAAGGCCCCTGACTGCCCTCACTGTGCAAGTGAGGAACCGAGAGGCATCGTTTCCCACGGTCACCAGGCTGGACCCAGAGAGAAGTAAGCTGACACCACAACCGGTGTTCCTGAATTCAGAGCTGTTCGGAAATGAAAGTGGTGCATGTGTGTGCATTTCATGTTGGTGCCTCCCTTTCCCTGTCTGTACAAAGGCAGTACAGTATGAGGGCAGGGAATGGAGGGCCTTGGCCTTCCTCATGTCCAGCCCTCTGCTTTGAGGATGCTGGGATAGAACCCCTGAGGTCGATATTTTATGCCTAATTTGGCCTGGTGTGTCCAAGATAGGGGTCAAGGCTGGGATTCTGGCTGGCGGGGGCCCTTGTACCAAAGGCTCTCCAGCCCTCGACCTAGAGGCAGAGAGCTGCTTCTTTTACTCTTCCAGCTGCCCCTGGCTTGGTTTCCTCCTGGGATTCTGGCTGGGCCAAGGGAGAACAGAGATACCAGACCACCAGAGCCCAGGACAGGCAGACCCTGCCGACAGAGAAGTGACTCCAAAATGAACCTGAGAGCCCAACCACGAGAACCTCAGAACCAGGTCCTACCTGACACTCTCATCCTGTCCAGGTGAAGAGTGGCTCAGGTCAGTGTTAACCTAGGGAGAGAAGAGAATCACATTGAAAAGCGGCAGCTGGCATCCGAATGTGAGCAAGCGTGAAGATCAGGGATGCATGCCGTTAAGCGAGGCAGGTGATGGTAATCCTTCCAGGGAGGCCCCTTACACCCAGGGAGAGGAATGTTCCTTGTTTTGCTCTGTCTTCACCTCTCTTTCACTCATCGCTCTGGAGGTTTCTATCAATCACCATATAGAAACCGAAGGTAGAGAAAGGGGCAGTGTGGCAGGCACTGTCTCTTGGACAATGTTATGTCTCGTGTCTAGATGTCCCCCAGAGCCTTATGTGGCCTTTTCAGAGGTGGCCAGATATAGAGGGTGTGAGGTTGGCATTAAGGGTGCGTGATCACTAAACTAGTCTAATAATTGGCTTGGCATAATTCTGGGTGTGGATAATGTGATTGCCTACTCTGGGTGTGATGGTACCAACCAAAGTGTGGGTAGCCCGGAAGGCATGAAAGGGAGACGCAGGATGCTGCTGCTTCACTACTTCACTGCTTGCTGCCTTCTGCCTTCCATGCTTTGCCATGAACTGTTTCTCCTCTGCGGTGCCCCTCTGCCGTGCCATCCTACTTTGGAGCCAACCTACTATGCACTGAAACCTCTACAAACTGAGCCAAAACAAAACTTTCCTCCTTTAACTTTGGCTGTTGGGCATTTTGTCTCAGCAGTGAGAAGAGTAACTAAGACAGATGAATTGATTTATTCACTCTTCCATTCAGCCATTCATCCACATGTTCATTTATCCACCCATCTGTCCGTCCTCTTCCTCCTTCCTTCCCTCAGAGGCATCGAGCAGAATGTTAGGGAGCAGATGCTCAGGTAATCTTTGTTGATGAACCAGAATGAAGAGTGATCAGAACTCACACGTTTCAGGTATGTTTGTGCCAGGTAATGTATCTCCATGTCTCTGTACCTGTCTGTCATCTGTCTGTCTGTCTGTTTACCAACCATGCCTATCTTATCTTTAGGGATGAGGAAGACTCACAGTGGTTAAGCCAGAGTTGTCTAACTTGCAAAGGTGAGAGGCAGGAGTTGGACTTGAGGCTCTAGCTGCTGACTCTTTGGATTCCCAATGGGTCCCATGGCCTGTACTTTTGTCTCAGGAGAGTAGAAACCAGAGTTTACTCCCTTCTTGAGTCCTGGGCAGGTTCTGAGGTCATCCTTCTCATCACCCCCACCCCATGCCACCCCTAAGTGCTGGCAGTCACTGGTGGCAGCAGCTTTGAGAGGCCCGGCACATCTGTGGAGTCTGAGGCCAGGACAGGGGCAGGGCTGGCTGAAGCCGTGCCATGTCTGGGACTCCTGCAGCTACCCCAGGGTGGCTCCTGGCCTCAGGCCTCTCTGCCCGCTGTGACTTTGCTTCCAAAACTCTTCTTCCCCCTCCTCACCCCAGACTCTTATTCTTCCTAAGAATCAGTCTCAGCAGATGCAGCCCCCAAAGCCCACCAAAGATTCAGGCCTGGGGCAGGAGCCCTGGCCTTCCTTGTCCGGGCTCCTCTGCCCTGACTGTGTCTCTTGCCTCCCATCCATGGAGACTTCATATTTAAACAGAAGCACAAGCCACATCGCCTTTTGGGATTCTGAAAGTGCTCCCAGTGTCCCCCACCCTCCTTCCAGGGTTATAATCTGTGTTCAACTGGCTGAACCCACAGATGAGGTTTTTGTAAAACCTTAACTGCCTCAGATACAAATTATCAACTTTATTTTTTCAGATACACAAGTACACCAGACTGTGGCCTCCAGCCCAGGAGTGCAGGCCTCTGGATAAGGTGAGAAAACATTCTGTGGGGTCCCCATGTGCACAGGGCCGGGGTGGTTGGGGAACAGACCGGCTGGAGGAGCAGGGCCAGAGTCAGACAGACACAGGTGTCACAGAGCCTGGGCCACTGGGGCTGGGGAAAGAGAGGGAGACCGAGAGAGCTACAGGGAGAGAGAACGAGAAAGAGACAGATGAAAAATAACTGAGAGGCAGGAGAGAGCTGGGGGCTGAGATAGCAGAGCAGCGGGACACGTACCTGGCCTCTCGCTGTCGTGCCTGTGCCGAGCAGGGACTCTGGCTCTGGCTGGGTGCTGAGGAGCAGGGCCAGCCTGATGTCCTTCTGGCTGAGTCCCTGCCTGCTCACCTGGCACCTGCAGGCCCCAGCCTGCTTCCCCACCAGCCTGGGCGCTCTGGAGCCGCAGTCCAGGCCTGGCCCGCTGGAGCTGGGCAGGTATACGGGGTGGGGCAAGAATTCCTTCTGCAGCCACCAAGGCCTGAAAACAGTTTTCCCTTCTTATCCAACGGGAAATTGTCACAACCTGTTATTCAGGTTACAGCACTGCAGGAGAAAGGTCCTATTGCTAAGGCCCCAGGGTAGGGGCAGTGTGTGCTCACCTGGGCAGCTGGGACAGGGCTGGGTGGGGCACAAAGTGTGGCTGTGACTGCTGACCCCTCCCTGACTGGACAGCTTCTCCCACTGTCTCAGCCTCCCCAGGGCCCTCTGGTCGCTGGCTGCTGTTCAGTCATGTGTTTAAGCTCTGTCTGATGACCCCAGGCCCAGAGCGACCCTGAGCACTGGCTCAGAGCCGGGCTTCGGGTCCCTTTCCCACCATAACACACCCTCCCACGGGCACAGCCTGCCGGCAGCTGGGCCCATGCTGTGGACCTGGGCTTATATCACGCAGCGAGAAGCCTGTGACTCAGGGACAGAGGCCACGCTTGGGGGTCAGACAGATGCAGGCCGTGGCTCACGCATTGGGCATTACTGGGCCCCTGTCTGGGCCTCGACTGCTCCTTTGTAAGATGAGAGCAACACTGTCTCCCTGTGCTGGAGGGCGGGTGTCAGCAGCGGGCGACTGTCCAGAAGGGCTTGCCGGCCTTGTTTGCGGGCCTGTTCACCCCTGCTTCCTGCTAGTGCACTTCCCTGGCAGGAGCCCCACGCGGATGTTTGTCCAGCCACAGGGCCCCTGCAGTGTGTTTCTGCCTGCTTACTTGTGACATTTCTTTTCTTTAATTTTCTTCCTTTACTTTTTCGTTTTCCTTCATTTCTCTCCCTTCCTCCCTTCCTCTCTCTCTCCCTCTCCCTCCTCTCCCTTTTCTTCTCCTTCCCTAGCCCCTCCCCCTCCCCTCCCCCTTCCTCTCTCACAGGGGATTGAACCCTGGCCTCATGCGTGCTAAGCATGCGCTCTAACACTGAACTCCCATGTCCAGGAGACTACCGTGCTCTCACCTCTGCGGTGACCTGTCCCACAGCCCTACGCACGCAATGCCTTCTCCCGAGCCCTGGTTTTGTGAGAACCCCTCTATCAGGGTGCCCGGCCCTGCTCACAGTGGGCCCCGACTTGGCCACTTCTGCCCCAGGCAGCGGCTCTCAGGACCCCTCTTCCCTGTCCGGTGCCGGCACCCAGGCAGGCAGTGGTGTGCCTGAGTGCTGCTCGAGGAGGTGGCTTGCTGTTTGGGAAAGGAGCTCGGGAGGCTGGGACCGGACTGCTGGCTCCGTCCTTGCAGTCCGGAGCCAGAGCCCGGACTGGAGCCTCCCCTGGGCTCCTGGGAATTCCAGTTCCGCTACCGTCCCGGTTGTGCCCGGACACTGCGCAGTGAGCGTGCTCACCAAGGCGGGGCGCACTCTGCCCTTCTCTGCCAGCGACTCTGCACTGTGTGAGCGTAGGAAACGAGCCCCAAGAGGCAGTGACAGGACAGGGGTGACAAACTCTGGAGGAAAGAGGCAAGACCGAGGGGACACGACCAGAATGAAAAGTGGATTCTGATACCGAAGGGACACACGCACGGACAGGCACACGGGTGCACGCACATGTGCAGGCAGCAGTGTGTGCAGCGCTCCCCAGACTGGCCGCCCCCTCCCCGGTTTCCAGTCATCTCCTGAGGCTGTCCCCGAACACCTGTGATCAAAGGCAGTCCGTCTTGTAAAACCCTGCTATTTATAGGCAATTACTGATCATGTCACCAATGCAGAGGGAGATAAACAGTGAAGAAATCCATGAACAATAAGCCTGGAGGTGTGAACACTTTGTTCCACTGACATTTATTTTAGAGGAAATAAACCCATTATTTCCATTATGCCCTTTCTAATTTTATTTATGGTTTTCGGTAACTCTGATCAGCAGTGGCACAATTGGGCCATGCAGAGCCATACAGCGGTAAATGCAAGATCTGAACAGGCAAAGGACGGAGGTTTTGACTCCCCAACTGGGATGTTGCCCACTAAGACAACAAAAGCCTGGTGCCAGAACTACTCTGAGACTTCCAGATTAACCTGTTTAAACCACAACAGCTTGCTGAGGGACCTGGAGAAACTGAAGCACAGAATGGCCAGGTCACGCTGCTAAGAGTCAGAGGGAGAAAGGCGCTCAGGGGTAAGCCCTGGGGTCTGTCTCTGGAGCCCACACCCTCAGCCACTTGGCTCCCAGGTTGACAGTGTTCTGTAAAGGACCAGATCAGAAGCATGTTGGGTTCTTGGGGGCCTCAGTCAAGACTACTCAGCTCTGCCACTGGAGTGGGAAAACAGCTGTAAATGAATCCATGTGGATGTGTTCCAATAAAACTATTTATAAAAACAGCTTAGGCTGTGCCCAGGCTCTATGTGGGCTGCCACTCCCTGTGCTGCCATTCAGCTGAGCCCTGGTGATGGGGAAAGGAGGCTTCCAGAGGGATGAGGGTTTCTAAGGATCTACCCCATCTTCTTCCCTCTCGGTAACCAGTGCCTTGCTCAGGGGCTGCTCCAGGGACCCCTGTTCACCTGGCAGGGGCAGCTGCCTGGCCTCTCTTCTTATGGGTTACTAGGAGGACGTCCTCTCAGGCAGCATGACTGAGCCCATTGCCTAATGCGCCTTGACTGGTGCCGGCAGGAGCCCCAGGAATGGCCTCTCCAGTTATGTTCCCACCCTCAGGCTTTGCAGGGCCTCCCCTGGCCTCAGAACCCAGAGTCTCTATGACAGGGTGGGTCCCTGTGAGGCCTGGGTGGATTTTGCCGTGGGACTGCAGACACAGTCCTGCCTCAGCCTCCCTCCCTCCAACAGTGCCTGGTACGGAGGAGTGAAGCAGGTCCCCTGGCCTCTCCTTTGGGGATGTCCCTTGTGCCCTCAGCTCTCTCTCCCGAACCCCTCTATGCTGAAAGAAGAGGGTGTTCTCTGAATGGGAAGGGGCCCTTCAGGTCCCGGCAGAGCATCTGTGAACACAGGTTATGCTCAGGGCCTGCTCCCACCTCACACCCTGGACGTCTGCAGGCCTGCTGGCCCAGAGCCAGGCTGAGTCACCTGAATTCTCTTTGCTGAGAGCCTGGCGTGTGTCCCTGGGAGAGAATGGGTCAGGGTGGGGCTGCCTGGAGCCTCTGGGTTCATGCCTTGGTCATGCCTGAGTGCATCACCTCACTGGGTTAAGCATGAGGAACAGACCCCCCCCAGTGGGTGACTGTCTCAGTCAGAGGCAGCTGGGTTTTGGCCTCTGTTTAATCAAGATGGCGGCCTCCACAATGAAGGCAAGTTTTATCTAGGAAGGCATAGGGTCTAGAGAAGCTCACTGAAGAAAAAAAAGAAAAACAATTTTTTGGAAACAGGGTCTGACTATGTAGTCCAGGCTTACCTTGAATTTACTGTATATCTCAGGCTGGACTCATGCTTGTGATCCATCTGCCTTAGCCTCCTGAGTACTGGGATTATAGACAATTACCACCCGCACAATCCTAATCACAATAATGACTCTGACAAACACTATGATTCCACCAATGGGGAGCCTGTGTCTTTTAATTTTTCCAAAACTTTGCCACATGTGGGACTTGATTCCTCCTACTCAGTGGGATAGGCCTGTTCGTTCTCTGGCTGTGAGTGGCAGTCACACGACCAGGGTCGGCCAGTGTTTCCTTTCCTTGCACTCGGAAAAGCCCTGCCTGACACACAAAGATTGTTTTGGTTCCAAACCCAGGCACATATGCGAGACCGGCCAGCTGCTGGCTTTCCCCTGTATCTTTACGGCCGCTTCCTGCTGGCTTCCTACCCAGAAGCCATTGTGCCTGACACTGTCCCAGCAGAATCCCCCCTGCAGGACCTGTCACGACCGCAGCACCATGGCCCATGCCAACCCAGCCGGCACTGTGCTGTGTGCAGCCCGTCCCTGCCTTGCCCATGGACTTCCAGCTTCCACCTCAGCCTCTGCTTCTGTGAGTTTCTTCCCCACAGCTTTGACCCCCCTCTGGGTCCCTGTGCTTTGCAGAACGCAGCCCCTCGGAACTGCCTTGGCCCAAGGCCTCCCCACCATTCCCAGGCCAGCCACCTGGACCTCAGCAATTCCCCTGTAAAATGGGGATCGTGAGATCTACCATGCGACACTGCCGTTTAAATGCGCTAATTCCAGTGAGGTACTCAGGCCCCAGCCTCCATGCGCGCACCCGTCGCTGTATGGGATCGTACTGACCCCGCAACTTCGAGTTTTCCTCCTGTAGTGCCCTCTCCCTTTCCTGTCAGAATGTGACGTTTTGTCTGACATTCTGACGCTTCCAGCTTCCAAATGCCCAGGACCGTGCACAGTGCGTGGCGCCTAGTAGGCACTCAGCTCTGAAGACGATGCCATCCTGCGCCCGCACCTGCCCTGTGCCGGGCTTCGTGGGAGGTGCTTTACGCACTTTTTCAAAATTCACGTCCGTCAAAGTCCCAAGGGATTTACTAATGCCCCCTCTTCTTTTGAGATAAGAGAGGCTCAGGCAAGCCCAAAGATGACATGATGAGTCCAAGGAGACAGGTGGGAGAAGGCTGAGCCCAGATTCAGGCCCGGGGCTGGAGGGTGCTTGCTCCAGGACTTCTCCAGCTTTGTTTTCTGGAGCTGTGCTCTTGGGGAGCAGACCTCGGAGTCCTCACCCAGCTTCCCAGTGCCTTCTAAAACAAGGGGTGTGTACGGCCAGGGACGCATTGCCCCCACCGTGCCTGCCGGGGCTGGTCTTTCCCCAGGAAGGGCGGCTGCCGGCACCCAAGGTTGGCAGTCACGATTTCACCCTAGGGAAGTGCCAACGGGGAAGCCAGCCCCCCAGGGCCCAGAGCTCCCGCTGCAGTGGTACACTGGGGTGAGCAGCTGGGCCTGTGTGCAAGCAGGGAGCCAGACTCTGGAAGAGCTGTGCGAACGAACGACCTCTGGAATGAGACGGAGGACCCGGGTCTGCAGGGGC